ACCGATTGCCGGGTGTAAAAGTAAATATTATAAATAAAATATATTATCTAAAGATAAAATTGTGTAAAAGTTAACGTATTTTCTCTGTTAAAAATGTAACTGATTAAAGTTGTAAATTAAATTAATTAGCAAAGTTAGTTTTTACACTTAATAATATAATAAATTGTAATATTAATTTAAATTTAAATTATTCGGGTAGCCGGAGTCGCCTTTGCGGCAACAGCCACGGCGTACGAATATCTAGACACTGCGCCGTCGAGCCCGGGGGGTCTCATCTTCCAATAGCGAGGCACCTCCGAGGCTGAGAGCGTGCTTCTATTTACCAAACAAACCTTGTACGCCGGGGCCGTCTCTCCGCAGTGGTAAATAAATAATCACTCGGTCGCGCTCGGTCAAACGAAATTAAAAAGTGACAAGCTGAACCAACTTCCTCGCAATCTTTATCGTGTTTTCTCGCGCATAATGGGTAAAAGGAAGGCCACGGGCAACGCGAACAATCCAAATCAGGATTTGTGCGACTTTTTGTTAGGTAAGCGACGTCCTTCCCCTGTAAAATAATCTCTTCGTTGAGAGAAGGCACCGTGAACCCGTCTGGATTTGCAAGAATGCGCGATAGGTGCAAGGTGCTTCGAAGCGGTCTTTTTCTCCCCCCCAATTTTTTTTATTAAAAGAATTTGCAGCATCAAGTGGACCGCAGTCGACGAGACAAACCTTATATTTGCTGATTTGCAGAACTGGCGGATTACGAGCGTAACGTCAGCAAGAACGTTTACAAGTACAATGCGTATCGCAAGGCGGCTGGGACACTAGGCGCCCTGACGGAGAGAGTAAAGAGCGGCGAGGAGGCGAAGAAGCTGCCTGGGATAGGAGCAAAGATCGCCAAGAAGATCGACGAGTTTTTACAGACTGGGAAACTGCAGAAGCTGGAAAATGTACGATCTCGCTGCAGTAGGAACTTAAGGTGCACGCCGTTTCACGCACGATGTATCCTTGTCATTCACCAAACATAAATAAGGATTACATTAAATAAGGATAAATTAAAGTTCCTCTAATCAGAGTCCGGCCAACAGGCCAATTTTGGCAAGATGATGCGAGAGAAAAAGAGATCTATTTCCTCTCTACATGACGCGTATGCTGTGTGTAGAGTGAGAGAGAATTTGTTTCTTTTTCTCTCGCATCATTTTGCCGAAACTGGCCTGTTGGCCACATTCTGATTAGAGACTCTAGGATAAATGATGCGTCATGCGTGAAACAAAACGCAACTTGCGCAAATCCGCTATACACGTGTCTCTTTTCAGATTAAGAAGGATGGGACCAACGTCGCCATCAGTCTACTGGCCCAGGTGTCCGGCATAGGTCCCGCCAAAGCGAAGGAATTGGTGGACGCCGGTATCAAGACACTGGAGGATCTCAAGAAGCACCAGGACAAGCTCACGCATCATCAGAAACTGGGACTGAAGTACGAAGTCGATTCGTTGACTCCCGGAGACGTTCTGACCGACGCAATTCTTTCAGGTACTTCGACGACTTTGAGAAAAAGATACCCAGAGCAGAAATTGTGCAGATAGAGAAGACACTGAGGAGCGCCGTCAAGGAGCTGGACAGTGCCTACCTCGTGACCATCTGCGGGAGTTACAGACGCGGCAAGGAGGAGAGCGGCGACATTGACGTTCTCGTCACGCATCCCGATTACACGTCGAAGGCGAAAGATGAGAAGAAGAAGAAGGCCGTGTCGTTAAAAGCAATCGTCGAGTGTCTCGAGAAGAAACGACTGATTACGGATACGATATCTCTTGGAACCTCGAAATTTATGGTATTGAAACAGGATGATCCGAGAAGCGAAGAAGGCACGTTTAAACTGTACGTTGTTCTTGCAGGGAGTGTGTCGGTCACCTGAAGACAAAGGCAAACCTTTCAGACGGTTGGACATACGTCTTACGTTTTACGATCAATATTATTGCGCCATACTTTATTTCACAGGAAGTGATCTGTTCAACAAATTTATGAGGGCGCATGCATTGGAAAGGAAATACACGCTGAATGAGTACGCACTGAAGCGTCTCACAGTCGAAGGTGAACGAGAAACGATGTGTGAACGAAATACGTGGAAATGTAGCACTTTGAGGAATTTCACAAGAAACCTTACTTTCAGGCTGTCCGGGAGAAGCTGAGAAAATTACGTCTGAAGAGGACGTCTTCAAATTCCTAGATTTGCCCTACAAAGATCCAAAAAACAGAAATATGTAAGCAAGATATTCCTTTATTTTATAACTTATTGCCACAAATGTTTTATGTATTATTGTTTATATTGTATTTATTATTGCAAAGAACACTCACCTTTATCAAAGTTAGAAATATATAATAGTTTGATAAATCTTGTAAAAAATTTTATTTAAAAACTTAATACATGGTAATGATTGAAGTGAAAATTGCGTTGTTTGTATAATTTTACAATTTGTCAATGAACGATGATCTTGTAAGAGCGATCGAACTACCTTCTCTTTCTGTTTCGTCGTTTCTCTTATTTCGTTATTTTAGATATACTCGCTTTTGTAAATCACAAATGGTCTCGTAAGCGTACGTGTGTATCTACGTCAACAGTATTGCAAGCGTAGCAATCTGTAGTGTTTTACCCGATCCCTGGCATTCGAGATTATATCATCTTATGACATTAATTGATAATCTTAAACAGATATAATAATGTCTTTTAAATACAACCAATATGCGACCACACCCCACAAAGCTGTGGTCCACAAATTCATAGCGAGGAGTGACCAATGCGTGGCATGCGTCAGTTGCCAAGCCCACGGAAATAATCCCATGGTAATGATGTGTCCAACATAGAGCGTAATTGGATTCAAACCTAAAACAAATAGAAAATAAATATGCGAAAGAAATTTCAGTACTTGACGCATAAAGAAACTGAGACAATATACATTTGAACGCTCTAGGGGGAAAAAAAGAGACGAAAGACGAAGTTTAATAGAACAATGAGATTTGTAAATGTATATACGTTGGAAAATGTTACGAACCTGCGTAGATGAACGGCGCACCGCTCCAACATTGTTTATAATCGACAAGGAAATGTAAGATCGCATACAGTAAAAACGCAAAGCAGGATACCGTCAAGGTAAACGAAAGCGACATCATTTTCTTGCTGACTGGTATCACTCCGGCCTCTTTGTCAAAGCGACATAATATCCCACCAATGATACCCTGAATATCAATTATCGATTGTTATCAAGTGTACAAACGGTACGTCTTCTGTCGCCTTTAAGTTAAATTAAAAAAAAAAACATCGGAGCTTACGGTGACGAATGACCACAGCAGCCAGCGTATCACTCTAGCATTGCACTGGTAGTAGAGCAATAAGATCTTTCCGGCATGGACACCCATGTACACAACAAGTATTATAGATATCGTGTTCATTATACCTGCGAGTGTTATAAGCCTAGCGTTATTTTATCGAGATCTTTTATTGGGAAGAATAAACTTGTCGTACATACCTTCAGGATCGTGAGGCAAGATGGTACCGTACACGGGATTGTCCGTCTTAGAGTACATATGACTGCCAAACACGAGTCTGTCTATGTAACCGGCCGCGCCTCCGGTGCAATTAGGGAATTTCCCGAAATTGTAGTAGCCACCGGGTCCCAAGTATCCCGTTGGACAATTCGGGACAGGCAGGGTAAACGTGATTAGAGTATGCGTCGTCACGATCGCTAAAATGATCAGCCACTGCGCCCAATTGTTCAAGATATCTCGTAGGATTGAAAACCGACCGAACTGTAACACGTCGTCCTAAGGGATTAATTATCACAGATTGGTCCATCATAGATAGCGCGTAACATACTGTTACAGAGAAGGAAAAGTGTAGTTCGCACCTGAGAATGCGCCCTTATAAATACAGTCTCGATGGTGGCGCATACGAAGTACGAAACGGCCAGCAGCTGAAGGACACCCGGGAACCGGAGGTCCTTCAGCGACTTCGAGTGAATCGAGTTGACCATCAATCCGAGAAGCACGAGGATAAGCGCGCGCTGCAGGCAACGTAAAATAATTTTCCCGCGTGAGTTCGACACACGAAGCTCCGATCGTTTCGCTATGGTGATCGATAATCCCATGATCCATGCGAACCTGAAAGCGTATCGTAATGTAGTACGATACCAGCAGAACGAAACGTGTGTAAAGTGCGAGAGAGCACAGATAATTTACCAAGGTAACACCAAGTCGGCCACTGTCAAGCCGTTCCACGCGCTGTGATTGAAAAACACATATTTGCCACCGCCGTTGTTGACAAATATCATCCATAATACAGCAATCCTGAAATTGTAATCACAGTTAGTTTATTCGCGCCGATCTGTGCTACATCACTTTACGCGCAAAAACGAAAGGTACCCTCGGAGCGTGTCGATCGAACGGATCCTGGTGCTGGATCTGTTTGTTCGAACTATCGGAGTCGGCGTCTCAGTCTCCTGAAGCTCATCCAAGTCCTGAAAGTACGCATAGTATGGCGCGTGTGATTGCACAATAATGTACATTTTTGTGCCAGGACACTTACGTCGTGGATATTGTCCGGAGAAAGTTTTCCCTTTATCACACGCACGATAACTTTGATGGTGGCGAACAGAATCGCTAACAGAACAAACACCATGAACGCCGCAAATATTGCTGCAACAGGAATAAGCGTCGATTAGCACGAGCCCCATAAATTAAGATCAAGAAATACTGTCGTGGATTCTTCCGACTTACGAAGATAGCTGTTTATCGGTTCGCGAATCGTATAAATCTGCGAGCACAGCTGCTCCTGGGAAATGTTCCAGCCGTAACTTCCATGCTCTTTAAAATTGTAAGTTGTGCTGCAAACGCGAGTTACGGACAATCGTGTACTTTCGTATCTCAAAAGAGTGCGACAAATGAGACGATTCTGTACGTTCTTGAGTTACTTACTGGCAATATTCATAAGTGTCCTTGTAGAATACGTGCAAAGGATATTTCGTGGATACAACTAACGTCGTGTTTTTCCCCGCTGGTAAGATAGCTTGTGGCGGTGCATTCGCACACTGCAACAACAAAGGATATTACCTAACAGCCGAACACGATCAAGAGTCCCACGTAGTAAGTGAATACGTACCTGGTAGCAGTCCGACGAATAAGAATACAACGTGACAGATCTATTATACTCGTTCAAAATACTGAAGCACGCTTCGTCTATCTCGAGCGACGCGTTGGCGTCGAGGCAACGATTGACTGCAACGCGTTGGCTCGTGACAGGCATTTTGCTACAATCGCAGTCGCCTCGCCAAAATTAAGACCTCAGCTCACTGAAAAACGAACATTTTATAAATGTAAAATTTGATACACGCGGTGGTGACGTTTCGCAAGCATTGCAGCCTTGCATCATCAGGGCTGGGAGGCTCTGATACTGGTATCAGCAATCATCTTTATTTATTGTTAATATAAATATATATTATATTAGAAAAAAAGAAGGAAAATGCTAGTGCAACACTGACACGATAAAGAAAAAGGCAAAGAGAGAGGCAGCCTAACTAGAGTTTGCGTTAACTGTCGTCGCGCATTCAAGAGAAAACGCGAGAACGAGCGTTAGTATCTCGTCGGTTTCTCAGACTGACATTTCGTTGTTCAAGTCCCCTATTATGAGATAGGATCCTAAAGGCCTGTGTCCACGATGCTAGGACTTGGT